CTTTCCTCAACAGCACAGACAGATTGAACATGCACAGCTTGACCCAGAACTCTTTTTATACAGAATGTTTTCAGGAAGGAGCTGAGAGAAGCCTGGGAAGCGAAGGAGGGGGATGCTGGCAGGCTGTAAACTGATGCTTTTCTGTACATATTGTCTCCTTCAGATCTATATATGCTGAGCTCTCAGCTATTCCAAAAACAAACCAAGAAGAGCTAGAGATAGCATATGATGGCTTCAAGGTATATTTTCATTTCCTGGGCTGGCTGGAGACAGTCACAACAGCTCCTGGCATAATTTTATGAAATTTCATAGTATCAGTATCGTTGAAGGAGAGATGCTACAAACAGACACAATTCCTACATAACCTGTGCATATCCTGAGGATTTCCATCCTGGGCACCAAGCAAGGCAGGGTCCTGAGACAAAAATAGGATTTGCTAATGTAATTACAGACCAAATCACCGTGCATCTGCTCTGCTGTGACTGAGGTTGCCTGAGCTAAAATATGATTGTACAATATAAATTGTGGCATTACCTAATTGAGGAAGGCTTGATTTTCTAATCTGAAAATTGTCTCCTTATAAACTCCAGGTCATTCTTCATAGCAAGCAGGTATTCAGCTAGAAGTGATGTGGATTTCATGGGTATGAAGAGCACAGCTGCTTTCAGCTGCCCTCTTTGTTTTCAAGGAGGAAGCAAAAATAAGGAGCAAAGCAAAGGACACATTTACAAAGGTAATACCTGACTTGCAATTGGCACAATGGTTGGGAAACATCCTGACCTGTTAGTCCATTGCTTCAGCTAATTTTGCTTTGTTTCTTTGTATTGATAAAAAGAAACGCAAGAATTATCAGAAAACTGGCCACTTATAAAGTATACACTGTAGGATCAATTATTTCACTGTAATATACAGCAAACAGATAACAGTTCATCTGCTTTCCTTGCTTTTCAAATAAAAAAAAATTCAGGGGACAGGCTAAGAATAAGCTGTCACACATCTAATTTTATTGAGTTTCATGCAGCAGAATTTAAAAAAAAAAAACTTTTTAAAAAAACTTTTTTAAGTTTTACAATAAAAATTATTGCAAATTTGAAAATCAGAGATGTCACTTAGAGTTTCTGTAGTGTATATTTTTGCTTCATTTCAGAGTTCCAGAAAGTTTAATTGTACCTTTGTGTGACAACACTTCATCTTTAAATGCTTTAGTTTTTAATTCCTGCAATGAGGTCTTACATTACGTTTAGTGCACCAGTAAGGAATTTCCACTTCTCTCTGCAAGGCAGAGAAAAAGAGTGTACAAAGGACTGCAAAGTACTACAAAAGAGTGGAAAATCACATGTATTGAAACTGTACAGATATTTATGGTCTTCACTTAAAATTTTTTGCTGTTTCATTTTTAAACAGGGCAAAACCAGTTTCCATTGCTCTCAGAGATGTTTTTTTTTCTCTCTATTTTGGAGAATTTAAGTTTTGGTTTTTTTGGGGGTTTTTTTGGGGTTTTTTTTTGGTTTTTTTTTGGTTTTTTTTTTTATTTTTATTTTTAATACAGTGACAGGCAGGCTACAGAAATATCTTTGCTTGTCTGAGAGTGAATCCTTGGTCTGCCACTAAAATCCAGGATGTGCTGCTCTGGGGGACTGGGGACAGCACATCATTGTGGGTCTGGTATAGAGAGGCAGAGAAATTGCAGCAAGTTCATAAGGATATCTTCTGAATTTTAAAGTAATTTTGGTGGGTACTAGTACACCAGCCTGTGGGTCCCCTCCAAGCCAAAGTGTTCTGTGATTCCATGCACTGCAGAGTTTGTGCTGTGTGGAGAGACGTGCTGTGCAAACCACAGCTGCCAGAAACAGCTCACCCTCCTGAGGAGCTCATACAGGAACATCTTCCCTTGGTCACAGAAGTGTGAAACATGCAAACTCCATGTCCACTGAGCAGCTAGACCTTGCTAGGCTTCTTTTTCAGTTGGGTTTGTTGGGGTTTTTAATGGCTGATAAACTAACCCAGAGCAGTTCTCTGCCTGATGTCCTTGTTTCATGGCTACATTTGCATCTTCTTCAAGGAAAATAGCAAATTCAATTAGCAGCCTTAGAGCATATTCCCTCCATGGGTTCAACCTGACAGAGGAAGAGCTTGCTGTGCTTTCCATCAGCAGCAGGCCTAGCTTGCAGTGTCTTGTTTTCTTGTTCTTGAGTGAGTATTTTTAAATGCAGGGAAGAGCTGTGGCACCTGCTGGTGTGTGCAAGCAGAGCTGACAGGCTGTGTGTGCCTGTGACAGAGGGGCCACCCTGAGGGCAGGGGACACTGGGCACAGCTTCAGAGCCCTGCTTTCTTTAAGCACAGCTACAGTGCACTTTTCCTGCTTTAGGATCTGGCTACATGGGAATAAAAAGATCAGTCAGACAGACAGCAAGAAGAAAGAGCCATTACTTTAAAAAATGTAGCTGGAAATGTGAGCTGTGCCTGGATGTGCAAGTGATACAGAATCCTTTCACTGTGTTCATGCTTTCATAAGAACTATTAAAAAAATACCAATTTAACCCAAGAGAATTTATATTCTGTTGCTAACAGCATGAAAGGCAAAGAAGGGAATACAAACATGCCACACAGTTTCTCTAATACTATGTGTGTGTTTTATCCTTTTGCTCTAATTAAAGGAAAGGCTAGAGCAGATGCAAGAGCTAAAGAGAAGTGGCTCTCATTAAGGCTGGTCTGGCAGTCTGTGGTCTGAGTGTAGGTGTAGAGCTGCTCGTTAGCAGAGTTCAAAGCTGAGTCTGCTTAAACCTGGCTGAGGAGGCTCAGCTTCATGTGCTTGGTTGTATAGGTCATTCCCAGGGGAATCCAGCCCTGTCAGAAGAAATCAGTTACTAAAATTCATGACCTACATACAGACTTCTGGTCTTTGGATATTGGCTATTCATTACTTCAGAAATGAAATGAAAAGAAAATATATATGGCTACATATGAAGTCTTCCACAATATGTCTATGAATTATAGTTTATGTAATTTGCTAAGTGAAACAGATACAAAACTTGGACCACTGAGGTAGCCATGACTTGTGCTGTTAATCTCAGCAATAGGTCATTAAAATACATTTGTCATTAAAAGATGTTTGTCAGTGAAGACAAATGCAGCCAAGCCCTTGTGTCAGTGTACACTACCCAGCATGAGGGCAGTGAAGAACAGGTGCTGCTGTATTACTTGGGTTTCACCACCAGCATGCTTCTCTCTGGCCATGTCGTTCAGTGGCATTCACAAACCGACTTTAACTGCCTCAAGGATTAATGAGCAGAGTCAGAATATTCTGCCACACAGCAGGGAGCAGCTGGGCTGGAAAGCTGTGTGAATATCCCTGGAAAAGTGGTCATTAGGTCTGCTGCAGCTGGAGGAATGAGAGGGTCTGTGACTGTGGCTCTCCATGGCTTAGAAAAGACAGAAACTGGGGATGTTGTCACCTGCCAGCTCTGCCAGGACCTTGGGCCAACCTCCTGGAGGCTGTGCCAGGGAGAGGCTGGGAGAGCTCCTGGGCAGCTCCAGGCAGGGTGTGAGGATGAGATCTAGCCCAGGAGGAGAACAGTGCACAGTGTGAGCACCAGTCCTGTTCCCTTTTCAACAAGCAAGCTCTCCTGTGTTCAATCCCTTCCTCAAACACCTGCCAGGCAATACAGAGTAAAGAGTGTGAGCATGGGGGAAATGAAAAGAACAGACTGGATATCAGAACAAACAGAACAATTGCTCCCATTCACTGGGCAGTTATTTCAGCGCTTTGTTTGATATAGAAAATGTCAGGAGAAGTGCAGGGTTCAATGATGAGGCTTCTTCCAGATTAAATTTATGTACAAACCAATAACCAAGTAGTGACTTGACTACCAGGAGCAGGAGTGACAAAACCTTTCCTGTTCACTTTATTTGTACCACAAAGGCATTACTAAAGGTCAATGCCACTGTAACCAGTCCTTATTCCAAAGGTGTCTAAGCAGTGATTCTGGGCAGAAGTCTTCTGGGATAACACTCAAAGGCAGATGTCTGGGCTGTTTGCAGAGGGGTGAGGCTTCCAGCTTCTGGCAATGCAAGTCAGGGCACTAAAATTAACCTGCAGTGTAAGGGTCAAAGCACCATTCCCTGTACTTGAACAGGAGGAGAAAGCCAGTGAGCTTTTCAGGCTACTGAAGCTTCATTAATGCCAAAGGTCTGGGCTCAGCAGGTTTTAGAGCTACTGAAGTTCTTGGCCTGTCAGCAAAGGCATTTGTTTCTGACCTCAGATACTCACAGACTGAGGGCACTTCAAAATAATGCACTTCTTAGGAGTAAGTTCTGATCTTCTAAATTTGATGATTTAGGAATATTAACCCCATTGCCTTCACCATCAGAATTGGATTAATATTCACAAACCTTCAGTGAGGCTCCTATGCCTGACCTTTTTGGCAATTTTGAAAATCCCTCTTGGAATAATGCTATTTAATTTGATATATCAGAAAGTGTTTTGTGTTCATAACTTAATGGCTTCCATTCAACAAATGTCAAATCTTGGCTGCTATTAGTGCAGAACACAGTGTGCTCTCTTGTGACAGGAGCTGTCTAAGACCACTAATGAAGAAGGAATAAAGCCTGAACTAGGTTAGACTGTGGAAGCTTCAAATCCCCTACCTATTGATATTTTGTTCAGACAAATATCCTTTCCACAAAGGACTGAAATCAGGTAGGAAAAGATGCTGCATAGACAAGTACTTTGCTAAAGTTTCCTTTTGTAAGTAAGAGATCCGTTCTATGTATTCTGCAAATCGTGCTGAATAAAAAAAGGTGTTGAATAAAAAAGCAGCAATTTCCTTTGCAACTACAAAAATCATTTCCCAGCGGCATTTTGTAAGTGCTCACCTAACTGGGATGCTCTTTATCTTTCTCCCTTTTAAAATGTCAAGCAGATAAAAGTCTTCTAAATACCATTCTTTCCTATTTTGATTAATTTTGCATAGTGTTTTCCCAGAAGGATTGGTACTTACATAAACCTGAGTTCTGATTCTCTTCTGACTAAGACTTCCCGAAGTCTCTGGATCTTTGCCATCTCAAGCTCAATTTCCTCAGGCATCATTGTTGTTTCAGCCATTGAAATGATGTCAAGTTGATCTGTGTGTGGAAGCAGAGAAAATGAATTAAGCCAGTCAGACTGTCTTAATGGTGTTTTTCAGGAATGTAAATTAAATCACAGAGCTACCTAACTATGGAGTAATTAATTCAAGCAGTAAAAAATACTCTAGCTGAATGCTGTGCTGACTGGTTTCTCTATTGTTTTGCTTATTACTTGCAATGTAACAGTTTAGAAGTGAAATACTCCCTAAGCCAAAGCAACAATCATTTTGTTAGTCAGGCTCAGTCATCCCTCTGAGGAATCCCCACCCCATCCTCAGCCACAGCCACCATTCCTGAACTGATATCACCACAACCTGACTGCTACAAAACCCTCTCAGAGCAATTCTTGCAGCTCTGGAGAGTCCTACCCATAACATAAACCCATGAATGTTCCCCACCTCCAACCCCTCTAACTCTCCTTGCTGCTCCACCCTGGGGGATGAAGCCCAGCCCCACCAAGAGCAGCCAAGGATGGGCTCAGAAATGATGCTGCACCTCGTCCTGCAAGGGGCTGAGTGGCTCTCACAAGGGCACAGAAATGGGTTCAGGAGACAAAAAGCACTTTGCAGTAATAACTTGGCAGCTGGTAAGGCCAGGGTGCTCCTGTGATTATTTCTCCATAATTGATGTATTACCTCTGTGACCCACAGAGAAACAAGGCTATGGACTGTGATCCCTGAGCATAAAGCAACCAATTTATACGAGATGGTTTTGGGAAAGGAGCTGCTTGGCCTCTGGAAAACCCCATTCCAAGGGTTCATCATACTTGGCCTTCATGTTAAACAAGAATTTAGACACTGAAAAATAGGTTGGCTGCATATCTTGGTGCCCCAATGAAGAGATATTCCTGAAAAAAGGCCTGCTTCAGCTGTATTGATTTGAAAAGGGGAAAATAGAGAGGTCAAAACCTACTCAGCATAATTATGCAGACAAAAAATAAGCTGCTCAATTAATTAAGAGGAGATAAATTCTGAAGTCCCCCATGACAGACTAAGCACAGCTGAGAAGAATTTCTGACAAAAAGTTGGAGTAGGAATGAAATGACAAAATCTCAGCAAACAGTCCCTGTATGAGCTTAGTTCACAGTTCTCCCAAAATGGAGGCAAAGAAAAAACATTCTATACTATATAAACAAAATATATGTCCCTTGTATTTAAAAATAGATAAAATACTTTTTAAAGTTATCCCATTAGTATTATCTGCAAGTTTTTACTTCCTTTCTTAATGAAGAAAGTGGGAAAACAAATATAAAACATCACTTTGTTTTTTCAAGATAACAGAATCTTGAGGAAAAAAAAAGTGAGACAGATTTTGAAATGTCTGTCATGAGAGAACAGCCATGTTTCAGTAGCTGTTTTTAAACTCAAATTGCAAAACTGGTCTGTAAAGTAAGGCTGTCTTGTGTGTCTGAACACACAAATGCTGCCTGTACAAGATAGATTTCCCTATCAGAAATCATTGTGTTTGTCAGAGTATATATATGTAGCCTAAATGTCATGAGGTTCTCACAGGCCCACCTCTCATTTTCACTGCTTGCCAGAAATATAAGCAGGAGATGGGAAGTTATTCTGATGTTACCATGAATTAAAGCCAATAATACTGGTAAATCAGAATATAAACCATAAATAAACTACACATACATATTATAAAATTAGCTCTCAAGAGCTTAGAAAACAGAAAAAAAAAAAAAAAAAAAAAAAGGTAACTCATTTAGTTGCACTCTGCAGCTGTAGCTGAGTGTGCCCTGGTGTCACTCCCTGTGTGAGGTCAGCCTCCACCCTGTGATTTCAACAATTCAGGAGCAAACAAGCTTTATGCCCCAGTGTGCTTAACCCAGCACAGGAATCAGTGTGACAGGCAGAAATCTGCTCTGACCCCTTGCAGAACAGTCAGAGATTCTCCTTCACATCCCACTCAACGTCTCCTTGAACCAGAGAAAATATTTTTGAAAGCGACCCAAAATTATGCAGTGTTTCCAAAAGACTCAAAAATGCAAGCAAGGCAGCAGAAGTTTGAAAGTGGAGGGAAGTGAACACAGAAACCATCAGATATCAGTTCACAGCTTGTCTGCAAGCTGGAGGATGTGGCTGGAACCCCGGAATGGAGCAGAGGTGTGACAACGCCTGGAGGGCCAGGGCAGGATTGCCACCCAGCCCCAACACTCCCCACAAACACCAACCTCTGGCTCATCTCCTCTTCTAACACCATGGATAACTGGCCCACCTGGCAGCAGCTGTGCTGAAGGAGAATGAATTATTTTTCGTGGGATGGTTTGAGCTCCTGGGATGTGAACCACAGGGGAAGATTATGTTAACATTATTGAGCCTTTAAGTAAAGCTCTAACTCTGTCCCAGTGACACCTCTAGTGCTCTGAGACATGATTCAGAACAGCTTCACACTGAAGTCTCTTACATTTTCAAAAAAGAAAGAATGAACATTTCATTTTATTTAAAGCAGGTATGTAGTAGTCAACTATTTTTTAGCATACATTGAGCTTTTTCCTGACAATGAGGCAAAATTCATAAAGCAGAAGTGGAGACAACACTGAGACTAGTCACAGCCAGTGACAGGATTAAACTATTTTGTCTGTTCTGCAATCTGCAGAATAATTTTCAGTAACAAAGAAACAAGTAAAATGATATTACTGTATGCACAAAAAGATAGCATGAAAATAATTGCTATAGGAAAATAAAATTATCAAGCTCTTGCACATAGTGAGAGGGACTGAAGAGGTAAACCTGAAGTTATTAATGCATAACTTTGCTTCAATTTAAACACAGACTGGTATAGTTAAACTGGGTATTAACTTAATGATCACACTTCATCCTCAGTGTGCTGGCCAGAAATAGAGCAGTAGCCAGCTGTGTTTAAAAGCAACAAAAACCCAAATTGCCTATTAAGTCAATAAGTGCAAAGAAAACGTTAAAAGAAGCTTGAATTCATACTGAGAAATGGGAGAACACCTCACACCTGGTGTCAATAGTTTCAGAGCAACTGGGAAGGGATGCTGTGATTAATCACCAGGGAAGGTCCTGCTGCTGTCACTGGTGCCACACTGGTGGTGGCCCCGAGGGACAGGCTCTGCAGCCATTAGTGCTTTAATTGTCACTTGGTGTCAGAACCCAGGACATTCCTCTGACTGCCCTGGAGGACTCGAGACCCTGGCCGGGGGGTCAGAGACCTTGGCACAGAGTCAAAAACACCTGTGCCTTTGGTTTTTACCCATGGGAAAAATTACCAGCTGTGTATGAAGATGTACAAGCCACGAGAGTTTAAGCAGAATGATAGTTAATTTGTCACAGGATGAAAAAAGTAGAATTTTGGGGTTTTTAGAATGGGGGTTCAGGAGACAAGATGGAGGGATTTGGGCATTCCCTGTCCTTCTTCTCCTTCTCCTTCTTAGCCTCCACCTTCTGTGTGATGGTGGCACTTTTAGATTGGTTTAGAGTAGAGAAAGACTGTCTAATGTAGGTGATAGGTATTGGAAAATTATTTTAAATAAAGTACACATAGTTTTTAGTACAAAAAGATAACACAGCCCCAAGGGCAGGCAATGTGCCATGAACCGACCTGCCAGACTGACCTCAGCAGGTCAGAAAAAGAATGTTACAGAAAAGAGAAAATAAACAACCCTGAAAAGCAGAACCCACACATCTCGGCTTGTTCTTCAGTCACAGGGCTCGGAAAAAACTCTTTAATACCTCAGGAGCAACATAAAACCCAAGAATTTGGTGTTGTTATTGTCACTCACAGGGCTCGGAAAAAACTCTTTAATACCTCAGGAGCCATTTCAGCAACACAAAACCCAAGAATCTGGGGTTGTTATTGTCACCGTAAACCAGAGAAGGTGAGGCCTGGCAGTGACACACAGGGTCCCAAATCTCTGCTGTGGAACCAAAGGATGTCATTGTCACTGCAGAGCTCAGGAACAGCTCAGGACCTGCAGCCCGGCAGGAACGCGCAGGGAGGAGCTGCAAGTGTGGGATCCACAGCAAGGGCAGGGTCTGCTCCACCAGGGCCCTCTGGATCCTCTTTTTATGGCTCTGCTGCTGCTGGAACCCAGCCACACCTTCCAGAGCCACCTCAGTGCCTCAGCAGGAGGAGATCTCCAGCACAGGGAAGGGACAATGGCCAGCTCTCCACCACTGCTCTTCATCCTTGCCATGGGTGAGCCATCCTAAATGAGACTGCTCAACCCAGGGCTGCTGGAGCTCCTCAGGATGGTGGCACACACCAGCTGAGAGACTTCTCTCGTGTGTAAACCACCCACAGCAAACCTGCTCTTCAGCCCACCCAATAATGGTGCTCCAGTTAAAAATTATTTTAAGTCATCATTTTAAGTCATTGCTCTGGACTGGACTTAAATTGAGCAGGTTGAGGCCTACTTCTACTCCCTTAAATTGTCCAATAATAAGCTAATCCTTGGTAAGAAAAGGCTAATGGATAAGTTTTGCTCCAAATCTGGGTCAGAACTTTTGGGGCTTTTTCAAAGAATTCAGTGAAATTCTCAAGCTAATCCTGTTTCACTGAAGTATATTAAGTGCTATTAAAGCAGAGTGCAGCAAGTAAACTCTTAATGCTACTTCACATATTAAAATCAAGACTCTCAAGACCACTATTAGTTGATGAGACAAAGCAGAAGTAAGCAGGAGGCACAGGTCAGAAATGGATGAAGAGAGAACCAGCTGGTGCCACTTAAAAACAGCATGCTTGGTGGAAACTGAAATAGTTGCATAATGCAGAAAAATTAATTTGTTATACTTTAAAATATTCCAGATGAAAATATGCTCATGTGAAAAGAATCAGATTATTCCTGTACTTGGTCACTAACATGTCATGAATGGAGGCTAGCCTAGCAGCCAGCCCTTTTACTATACCTTCTGTTGATGCCTCAGAGTTGATTTTTTTTCTGTTTTATTTAATCCTTCTGGTGCAGGATGCAGTGGCCAAAAACTAACCTGTACAGGAAAAACTGCATTTAATTCCTTATTTCTATT